CCTATTGATTTTGGGGTCAAGGGGTCAAAGGTCAAGGTCACATTGACCTTGTAGGTAAAAACGGTTTCCGATCAATTAACTAAAAATGCTTAGGCCTTGGAACTTTAAACTTTGTATGATGATTGGTCATGACCAGCAGATGACCCCTATTGAGTTTTGGGTCAAGGGGCAAATGTCAAGGTCACATTGACCTTGTAAGTAAAAACGGTTTCTGATCAATAACTTAAGAACACTTAGGCCTAGGAACTTCAAACTTAGTATGGTGATTTGTCATGACCAGCAGATTACCCCTATTGATTTTGGGATCAAGGGGTCAAAGGTCAAGGTCACATTGACATTGTAAGTAAAACCGGTTTTTGATCAATAACTGAAGAAAGCTTCGGCCTAGGAATTTAAACTTGGCATGGTGATTGGTCATGACCAGCAGATGACCCCTATTGATTTTGGGGTCAAAGGTCAAGGTCACATTGACCTTGTATGTTAAAACGGTTTCCGATCAATAACCAAAGAAGCCTTAGGCCTAGGAACTTCAAACTTGGTATGGTGATTGGTCATGACCAGCAGATGACCCCTATTGAGTTTTGGGTCAAGGGGCAAATGTCAAGGTCACATTGACCTTGTAAGTAAAAACGGTTTCTGATCAATAACTTAAGAACACTTAGGCCTAGGAACTTCAAACTTAGTATGGTGATTTGTCATGACCAGCAGATTACCCCTATTGATTTTGGGGTCAAGGTGTCAAAGGTCAAGGTCACATTGACCTTGTAGGTAAAAACGGTTTCCGATCAATTAACTAAAAACGCTTAGGCCTAGGAACTTCAAACTTTGTATGATGATTGGTCATGACCAGCAGATGACCCCTATTGAGTTTTGGGTCAAGGGGTCAAAGGTTAAGGTCATGACCAGTAGATACTTGATAACCCTTATTAATTTTTTGATCACTGGGTCAGAAGTCATGCATAATAACCTTATCACATGACTAATTGGCTGCTGATAGGGGGCATACATGTTTTACAAACATATCTTGTTTAAATCTGTTTCTATTGTGCATGTTTATTTTTCTGTGATTGGTAGTGCTTTCTTCTGTCCGAAAGCGTAAGCCTTTGTGTTTGTTTTCTTCATTTCAGGTACTGTCCTCATCTGTCCAATAAGCTTGTTGTCTAGAATGTTAAGATTTGAACCAGTTACGACCAGTACAGATGTTTGTTAAACCCCCCCACAAAATGTGGGGGGGGGGGGGCTATAATGGATTCGCTTTGTCGCGTCGGTCGGTCAGTCGGTCGGTAGGTCTGTCGGTCCGTCCGTCTCCATTTTCGTGTCCGCTCTATAACTCCTATACCACTTGAAGGATTTTCTTCAAACTTGGCTCAAATGTTCACCTCAGCAAGAGGATGTGCAGAACCCATGTTGCCCATGTGTCAGCTCAAGGTCAAGGTCACAATTGAAGCTCAAATATCAAACACAATCATATATTAGACAGTATGTCGTGTCCGCTCTGTAGGTCCTACAATAATTGAAAGATTTTCTTCAAACTTGGCTAAAATGTTCACCTCAACAAGGGGATGTGCAGAACTCATGTTGCCCATGTGTTTTTTAAGGTCAAGGCCACAATTGAAGGTCAAATATCAAACAATCAAATATTACACAATATGTCATGTCCGCTCTGTCAGTCCTACACTAATTGAAAGATTTTCTTCAAACTTGGCTCAAATGTTCATTTCAACAATGGAATGTGCAGAACCCATGTTGCTCTTGTGTCAGCTCAAGGTCAAGGTCACAATTGAAGGTCAAATATCAAACAATCAAATATTACACAGTATGTCGTGTCCGCTCTGTAAGTCCTACACTTATGGAAAGATTTTCTTCAAACTTGGCTCAAATGTTCACCTCAACAAGGTTATGTGCAGAACCCATGTCACTCTTTTGCCGGCTTCAGGTCAAGGTCACACTTGAAGGTCAAAAATTGACTTAGAAAATGTTCTTTAATTTTAACATATATCTGAATATTTCTGAATCTAGGAAAGGTATTTGCTTGAAACTTAAAATATAAATGAAGTGTCACAATTAAGATATGCTGGTCAAATTTCATAACTCTGTATTGCATTTTAACAAAGTTATGCCCCTTTTTAATCTTCAAATTTACATACAATCACATATTAGACAATATGTTGTGTCCGCTCTATAAATCCTATACTAATGGAAGAATTTTCTTCAAACTTTTCTCAAATGTTCACCTAAACAAGGTTATGTGCAGAATCTATGTCACCTTTGTGCAGACTAAAGGTCAAGGTCAGACTTGAAGGTCAAAAATTGACTTAGAAAATGTTCTTAGATTAAAACATGTTCTTGAATATTTCGGAAACTAGCATAGGTATTTGCTTGAAACTTAAAAGATATATGAGGTGTCACAATTACAATATGCAGGTCAAGTTTCATAACTCTGTATTGGATTTTGACAAAGTTATGCCCCTTTTTAAGTCTTTAAATTTACATACAATCAATACTAGACAATATGTTGTGTCCGCTCTATAAATTCTATACTAATGGAAGGATTTTCTTCAAACTTTACTCAAATGTTCACTCCAATTGGGCGATGTGCAGAACCCATCTTACCTTTGTGCCAGCTGAAGGTCAAGGCCACACTTGAAGGTCAAAAATTGACTTATAAAAAGTTTAGTATATTGGGAAAATGAAAGGTTATTTGTAACTGTTTCGAACATGATTTGATAATAGATATTTTACTATTACCTGTACAATTAGTCTTTTTTCACCAGAGATAATTTCTTTTTATGTCTTTGTGTCACTTAAGTTATTCCCTTAACCACCTTTCCAAGTTGTCTTCTGTCAAGGACATTGGTGGGGGTATGAATCGCATTCAGCGATCGTTCTAGTTGATTCTAATATTAATTTTTGGTACCTTTGTAGTGGTCATCTTATTTATACCAAATGTAATTTTGTTCTTGGTCGCTGTCGCCACTTTGCTGTATTTCTCTATTTTTTTCGACACACTTAAACAAAATGGTTGCAGAAGACGAAGTCTTAGAACTAATGCATGGCATAGAACCTGTTGACTTTTTTGCATTGCATAGTCATAAAGTTTTGTGTCCCTTTTCAGTTGATGTCACAATTGTTTGTGTATGTTTGGGACCTGTAGGTTGTCAACATTTTGTGGCCTCTTATGTTTGTTCTTCATGAATTTTACCTTTTCGTCTTTAAGGTTTTCCGCGCAAAACAGAATTCGCCAACTGGGCTATTTTGACCGAAAGGGAATCTACAAATTCTTGTCTATTATCAAAGTAATCGGCAATATCCCCCAATCATTCCCTTCAGATACCTTCGGCGGGCAGCTTGCCATAAAGGTATCAATATCATCTCCTGAGTCATTTTCGCTAGAGCTCGTCTTCTTATGACCTGCCTATCCTCTGAATCATATTCGTCAACAGATCTTGTGTAAATTAATGACGAAATGTCCCTTTTTAGGTCAATGGCAGTTTGCGTAATTGTTTGAAGAGATGACGCAAACTCCGTCATTTGATCTTTAAAAGTTATTGTACAGTTTCCCATCTTTTTATTTTGTCAAATATGGGCGACTTCGATCACAGACCATAGCTTGGTTCCGGACGTTAATTTGCGCATGTCTGGTCTAAGAAATGATCGAACGAACTTTTGTCGTGTTTAGTTAAAGCAACATGGCGGCAATTAGGAAAGAGCAATTGATGTTTTTCGTAATTAACGAGTTTATGGATGACGAATACGAAACTGAGATTCATCAACAAGCTAAACGATTGAAAAGACATATTTGTTGTAGCTATGCATCAATGAGAAGGGACTATGTCCCTAAAGTACCCAATTATATGGGATCTGTTATCCAAGAAATGGGAATACCTGAAAATATTGACGATTTTCAAGTGCATTATCGTGTTACAAGACACTTATTTGACATTTTATTAGAAATGACTTTTCAAAATCTGCTTGCTACTGGCAGTGGGCCTCATGAAAATGTTACTACAGAAAAGAAGTTACTGGTTGGATTGTGTTACTTAGCGAACACAAGTCTATGCGGGAAGTTGCTCATACTTTCAATTTAAAAAAAATCAACTGAGAAAAGTCTTAAATATAATTTCTCAGTAAAACATGTTTAGAAAAAACATTAATGAAAATAGATTATTCTATAAGTTAATATTATGACAAAATTTTTAATTCAAAATCTTGGGACTTGTGAATGTTTCATTAAGCTATATGATAAAAGCAGCTGTTTCTAAGATGTAATTTTTTTAATCCTATACTTTGATCTTGTGACCAATTACATGTATTTCATAACCTGACATACACATCTCTTACACATATTCTAACACATGCACAATATCTAACTGTTAACTCTGAAATTTTGTTTGTTTGTTTGTATTTTAAAGATTTCATCTTTTCAAAACAAGTGATTATGAACTAAAAGTTTTATCGATATTGGTAAAAATTTCATAATCTAACATTAAAATGTCAGTTTCACTCTTTGCTGGAAGTGGGAATGATATGTCACTTATTAACTAAAAACCATGGAATCAAAGATTATAAAGTAAATTTTCACTTCCTATTCTGCACTTGTTTCCAATAAAATAATTGAAACAAGTAAAGCTCAAAATACATATATCATATTACTTTGGTCTCTGGTTGGTATCATGTAAATCATCAATGGCGCTTCATGGTTAACATTAAGTCAAATTGATATCAATACAACTGTTAAATTTTTACTTTATAACACACACACTCAATTAAATGCTATTCGCCATCACATCAAAGATTGGAATGGAATAAAAAGACACTGCCTGTGCTGTTCAGATACAAAAGAGCGTAATAAAACAAAATTGCTACTTAGCCTTTTTCAAGTGAGCTAAAATCATCAACAAACATAGGTTTTTTGCTACACAAATGCCTGTAAAAAGAAAACATGTGCTTAAAAATAGTTAAAGTCTCTTAAATTATATTCAAACAGTGTAAAAAATAAAAAAAAACTTTTGCTAATATACACATCACAAATGTCAAACAATTCAAGACTGTGATTTAGTTGTCAATTGGTCTTAGAATTAACGTCTTTTTCATACAGATCAAGAAATCTATCCATTCTGGTCATTTTTGCTTGGTGGTGTTGCTCCATTCTTTCATGGAATTCAGTGTTCTGACGTTCCATCATTTCTACAATTTCTGTGGATCTCCTTTTTATTAGCTCACCAGAGCCGAAGGCTCAGGGTGAGCTATTAGTATCAAAGGGGGATGCTCCGGCGTCCATCGTCATGCGTCAACAATCGTCTTCTTCTCTGAAACTACTGGGCCGATTTACTAAAAATCTGGTCTGTAGCATCCTTGTGACAGTCACACTTGAATTTGCTCATGTCATTCGAATTGGCCCCTTTTAGGGGTCAGCAGAGCTAAAAATAGAAAAACCTTTAAACATCTTCTTCTACAGAAGTAATGGATGGATGCTCATTAAACTTTGTCTGTAGCATTCTTGGGTAGTCTTTTATCAAGTTTGCTCATATTATTTTGATTGGCCCCTTTTAGGGATCTCTAGGGCTAAAAATAGAAAAACCTTTAAACTCTTCTTCTACAGAACTAATGGATGGATGATCACCAAATTTTGTCTGTAGCATTCTTGGGTAGTGTTTTATCAAATTTGCTCATACTAATTTGATTGGCCCCTTTTAGGGGCCGCAAAAGCTAAAAATAGAAATACCTTTAAATGTCTATTTCTAGAGAAATAATTGATGGAAGATCCCCAAATTTTGTCAATAGCATTCTTAGGTAGTCTTTTATCAAGTTTGCTAATATTATTTTGATTGGCCCCTTTTAGGGGTCTCTAGGACTAAAAATAGAAAAACCTTTAAACATCTTCTCCTACAGAACTAATTGATGGATGATCACCAAACTTAGTCGGTAGCATGCTCGGGTGGTGTTTTATCAAGTTTGCTCATATTAATATGATTGGCCTCTTTTAGGGGCCGCAAAAGCTAAAAATAGAAATACCTTTAAATGTCTATTTCTAAAGAACTAATTGATGGAAGATCACCAAACTTTGTCTGTAGCATTCTTGGGTTGTCTTTTATCAAATTTGCTTATATTTATTTGATTAGCCCCTTTTAGGGGCCACTAAAGCTAAAAATAGAAAAAACCTTCGAACATCATTTCCTACAGAAATAATTGAAAGATGATCACTAAACTTTGTAGCATTCTTAGGTAGTCTTAAATTATCAAGTTTGCTCATATTATTTTGATTGGTCCTGTTTAAGCTAAAGCTTAAATACCCCAGATCATGGCATTTCTTCAAATTATTGTTTAAACATATTCTATGCTCAAATTTAATATAAGAATATATTGACATTCCAACACTGAAAAGCAGTTGTTTCTGGTGAGCGACTCAGGGCCATCATGGCCCTCTCTCTTGTTCTTGATTTGCTTTCTTTTGTTTTTCTTGCTGGCATCTCCTTTTTTACACTGGGGGGTTGTAGATCTCCTGACATTTCAGCTTTCTCTATGTCCCGATACTCAACTGGCGACTTTGTACTGTCGAGTAAGAACTGGGGTTTTGTACTGGCTTTAGTGCCATATAACTGATCAAAGTCATTTTTCTGTCTGAAAAATTTTGCTTCTGTGCCTGTCCCTGCATCTACAACTTCCTTCCATTTTTTCTTTAAACTGAAGTACTTGTTCATTGCCTGAGTAGATGTAATGTTGCAGTTTAATGTCTTGTTGATTTCTTCTGCAATAGCTTTCCATAACAAACTATGATTCTTGGTTTGAGTAAACTGATCATTTTTATCATGACGCAATGACACAAGAAGGTCCTCTTCATTAGATGTATGAATAATGCTGTCTGATTGACTGATACTTTCAGATTTTCTTACAGATAACTGATTTTGATTATTATTATTAGATGACTGAAGGTTGTTGACACCTAGCTGAAGTTGACTGGCATGTAATACAGACTGTGTGTTAGATGGCTGAAAGTTGTTGGCTTCGACATGACTCAAGTTGGCTATTTGTCAGCAGACCATTAATGAGCCCCTCCTTCAATGATGGATCTAAAACATTCAAATTAAAAATCAATTAATGAAATTAGACAATTTGTACCAAAGCCAACTTTTTGGATGTTTGCTTACAAATATGCGCTTTTATTGGTTACTGTATCAGATGCTGAAGGATATATAAAAACTTTGACACAAGCATTTAAAACATACCCTTAATCCAGTGAAGAGGGCAAACTGTCATGAGCTATATATTAATTTATAGTTATTATACAGATGCCATTTTTGGTCAGTTCTAGCAAGAAACTAGCCCATCCAATTTCTTATTTTTCAATTTTTGAAAAGATCCAAATAAATTGAGTTCTGTCAATTGGTCCAAAGAATTCAAAGGTTTTTTACCTGTATCTTTAGAGAGTATTAACTTTGCCAATTCATCATCACACTGCAACTGGCTTTGTTGACCATTACGAGTTATTGTTAGAATCTTCATCCTGATGAAAATAACAAATGTATACCTTCATTATTTTCATTTTTATTCATGTTTTAAAATGCTCTCAATAAAGTTATTTAAAAAAGAGTGAAAATTTTCCAATGACCCTATTGACCAAGATGAAAGCAGCATGCCTCCAAATGAGCAAATTATTTCATGGGAATCAAACTAGGGAAGATTGTATGAAGAGATTAAGATAAGTAAAAAATATAATAGTAAGGGATATTTTTGAATTCTGTGAAGTGTTATTGTTAAAGATATACTAGGCTCAAATTTTAAATTTAAAAAAAGTGATAATTCCTACACAGTCTGTCTGTAAATGTAAAATAAAGATGTTTTGAGCACACACGCACGCACGCACGCACACACACACACACACACAGTTCATAAATTCAGTTTTTCACTCTACACACTAAAAGTAAATAAATAGTGTCTTTAAAAAAACAGTTTTTTTTAAGAAATGGCAAACTTAACTTGACATGTAATATTGAATTCAGCTTTCAATTCACATTTTGTGTTGTCTTTATTCGAACGAGACATATTTAGTTTGAAATGTTTTAGAATTTGATACACTACTGCACCAAACATATTTAACTTTAAGATGAGCTTAGTACATCTTTAATATACATGGATTGTTAGAGTTTTTTTAATGTAAATCCTTTATCACTTTCACAATTTTTACTTTTAAATACTTTTTCTTAATTTTCTTGAAAATTAACATAAATCTGGAGGCCAACCGCTTTAAAATAACTTGATATAAAGCAAATACATACTGACCAAATTTTATAAAAATTAAAGCTGCAACAGTTCTTAAGGAAGTGAGCAAAACTGAGTGGCTGTACTATACATGTACACACTAAAGAATAATAGACAGCCATATGAATGGGCATGAAAGTTTAAACAACAATCAATACAATTCAAATATTTTAAATGTACATCATACATTACGAAAAGCAGAAATAATGTATCAGGAAAACTAAACACTTAATTTGTTATCCATATTACCTGTACTGTATTAGAAGCACACTGCTCACAGATTGTCCTCTTCAGTTCTTTCGTAAGATGCAGTTCTAGCTCGTAATAAGCACAACTGGCATGAAAACATAGACGACAATGTGGACAGCGAAGATAAATCCTGAATTTAAAAAAAAAATTAAAATAGATTATAATAACGAATTATATCTAAGTATTAAAAAAGTAATCACTCTAATAAAATTCAACAAGTGTCTTGATTACATTAACATGTTCTCATCTACAATATACTGTTACTTTATCATTCTCTAGACAGGTGCTCAAGATGAAAAAAGAAGGTTAAATCTCATAATCCTTTAAGTGTTGTTATGTTTTTCTAGTCCTTTGATAACAATGATTCCAATATTTTGTTGTCCTGCTAATGCGAGGAGGCGCAAGATGTTTCACTTTCAGGTTTTGTATAAGGCTTTGGGGATGTTGCTCTAGCGTTCAATTTTTTGGGAAAATTAGCAATTATGGGGACAAATTTTATGGCAAATAGCTGGAAGTGGGATCAAATTTACAGGAATAAGTTTCAATTCAGGGGAAAATTACATGATTTAAAAGAAATTTTCTTGCGGTATGTAGCCTGTATTCGGCTTCAGCTATAGAATAAAAAATTCCTAGACTTTACATTATCTATTATGAATAGACTAGATGAAACACAGCCTGCTATGTTCTACAATTAAGTTTTATTTTTTTCATTGTTCTGTACCTTTTTCCAAAAAGTTATTTTGCATTTCACTTTCTCTGTATGAATTGATATGAAATCATGAAAAATACAAAATTACTATTTGAACTTCTGGTACCTGTAATCTCCGTCAACGAATATTTCTGTTTCCTTCGATTTTTCTTGAGCCTCTAATGATGCTATAGAGTGGTCTGGAGCTTTGGAGTGGCAAATGTAGCAAGTCCACTTGATTTGTAGGTTTTCAGCATCCATCTGTATGAATATGTAATAGCAGATTATTTTTAACAGGCCAAAGTTGTGTGGATGATACAGATTTATATACAATGTAATACAGTTTATAAATGCATCTTGAATAAATTAATTTAAAAGATTGAACATTTTTTCTGATTTTGGATCATGTTTATTATTAATTATTTACTGTTTTATAACTCTTAAAGTCTTGCATTCCATGAATGTTAAACTTTTTAAAATAAACACTTTACTGGCTCACAGTAGAGCTTTTAAAACTCATTTCTTATGCTGAATTGATTTTTAAGGATACAAATACGAAGTTGCCCGAGTACGAAATCCAAACTGGATTGAATATCGGTAGGCCTACGCCAAGTTACACATGTATTGTCACTATTTTGTTTATCTTGTATGTTGTTTTTAATTTATACCTCATTGCAATAAAAAAAAATTTAATTCCTTTCAGTCATATCTTTTGTAAGGTGTTAAATATGAAAAGAATCAGAATACACAACGCGTGTTATTACCTTTCTCCGCCATCTTTGACCTAGAGGAATGGCCGTTTTTGAGTGGTTCGACCGAATGAACTAAATGACGTCACTTTAGTTAAATCAAAGTCAATTCGAGCGGTGATTAGTTAGACTAAGGAAACCACAGTTAGTGATCGAAGTCGCCCAATAATACGTTGGTGATGTGCTTAGGTAAAAACATGTATGAATGTAATATACCAATATATTTTGATTACAAGTCTTTGGTAAACTCGGAAAGCATGGCGAAACGTGGTATTCGTTTCTATTAGTAAAACATTTATTTATAGATTTATATGATGTATATCCATCGCAAGTAAGAATAACAAGTAATAATAATGCAACAGAAAGTTGTATCTAGGCTACTGAAACTTTTAGACAACTTATCAGCAGGAAGTGATATCCAGACTGTTTTTTTCTGACCACTAGATCCTCCATGATAGTACGAGACCTTCTTAATATTTAATACTAAGGTACTTAAAGAAAGTCAACTCACCATTATGAAATCGTCAAGTTATTCCTGTGATATTTGATTCCTTTAATTTAACACTACTAGCACTCGGGTGCCCGTTCGTGCCTGAAATAATGCGCGGAAGGGCATCTGAGGTTTTCCTCCACCAGTAAAGCTGGGGTCGTCATATGACCTATACTGTGTCGGTATGACGTAAAACCTAATCGAACAAATTAACACTAATAGCCCTAAGACGTGGTTGCCTCGTTATGATCGCCTTCGGTCGTGGCGCGCTGCGTCTGTAATCTGTGGGTCCCATAAGGGAGTTTATGTGTTGAATGAAATTTCTTATCAAAATGCTTGTTAAATCCAAATCCAAATAAATAATTAATTTAATTCCTTTTATCATATATCGTTCCTTTTGTTAACTTCTGACACCATGTTATGTTGTATGAATGATAACGAGATTCCACTGCTTACTGTTCTACTATTTATTACGACTAGTTTAGACCAGTGCTCAAGTGAGAATGCCCAATGATCATATATACAACTTAGCATTAATGAATATCAAGTAAAAGGAAGTTATACAATGAAGTGTACGAATAAACATGTAAAGAGTTACCTGATCTTGATATCATAAGAGTATCATAAGTCGAAAAATCGATGGGTTCGAATAATCGAAATCCGAATATAGTGACAGACGACAACTAGTCAACATTGGTCATATGCCAATCATAGCAAAACTACCGTTTACAACACACTTGTTTCAATTAATCAATCGATAAAAACAATAAACAACAAATGATGCGTCATAAATAAAATTGTACTGGTACAGAAGACATAAGTACTTTTATTGCCGGGTATTCGAATAAGGGTTGTCGAATAACCGGGGTCGGACTGTAGTTATAAAACACCAGTTTTGCGCGGATGCGCAGGCTGGTCTGGATTCATGCTGGTCGCAAATGCACTGTGTTGGTTTTGTCGTGACGCTGTTTAAGTATAAGCAGGCACAACATCATTATCATCCTACATATGCAAGTTAACAAGCGTAAACTAGGATACATATAGACTTATTGCAGAATGAAAACTGCATAAGAAGATTTATTCAAACTTTGCATGATTTTAGAATATGATAACAGAAACATTCTAAGTTCAATTATATATTACTTACCTTATTTTTGAGTAATCTACCCTTGTATTTGATTTTTGTTGTTGTTTTAGGTAAGTTCAAACCTACACAATAATTATACAAACTTTTACGTATTAAATTTGGTTTTTCCTTTTATTCTTTGTCAAAATACAAACGTTCATGGAATCCTATTAAACATTAATTTGTGTGTCCCCTTCATTCCCTTAGATGTTTTTATTTGTGTCCGCTTTATTCACGTTTTAATTTATATACGATCTAATGCAGATTTTTTGTTTTCAAGGAAATTTTAATTTTGGGAGTATGCACCTCCTTTGGGACCAAATCTTGTAAGACCAAATCTTGTAAGACCAAATCGTGTAATCACATTGTAAACAAGAGCACCGCATGCGGAGTTAACGCTCGTCGTCTGTTAAATTCAACTTATTTAAGAAAGGGCATACCTCCAAAAATAATCATTTCTTGCGGTATGTAGCCTGTGTTCGGCTTCAGCTATAGAATAAAAAATTCCTTGACTTTACATTATCTATTATGAATAGACTAGATGAAACACAGCCTGCTATGTTCTACAATTAAGTTTTATTTTTTTTCATTGTTCTGTACCTTTTTCCAAAAAGTTATTTTGCATTTCACTTTCTCTGTATGAATTGATATGAAATCATGAAAAATACAAAATTACTATTTGAACTTCTGGTACCTGTAATCTCCGTCAACGAATATTTCTGTTTCTTTAGATTTTTCTTGAGCCTCTAATGATGCTATAGAGCGGTCTGGAGCTTTTGAGTGGCAAATGTAGCAAGTCAACTTGATTTGTAGGTTTTCAGCATCCATCTGTATGAATATGTAATAGCAGATTATTTTTAACAGGCCAAAGTTGTGTGGATGATACAGATTTATATACAATGTAATACAGTTTATAAATGTATCTTGAATAAATTAATTTAAAAGATTGAACATTTTTTCTGATTTTGGATCATGTTTATTATTAATTATTTACTGTTTTATAACTCTTAAAGTCTTGCATTCCATGAAGGTTCGACTTTAAAAAATAAACACTTTACTGGCTCACAGTAGAGCTTTTAAAACTCATTTCTTATGCTGAATTGATTTTTAAGGATACAAGTACGAAGTTGCCCGAGTACGAAATCCAAACTGGATTGAATATCGGTAGGCCTACGCCAAGTTACACATGTATTGTCACTATTTTGTTTATCTTGTATGTTGTTTTTAATTTATACCTCATTGCAAAAAAAAAATTTTTTTTTTAATTCCTTTCAGTCATATCTTTTATAAGGTGTTAAATATGAAAAGAATCAGAATACACAACGCGTGTTATTACCTTTCTCCGCCATCTTTGAACTAGAGGAATGGCCGTTTTTGAGTGGTTCGACCGAATGAACCAAATGACGTCACTTAAGTTAAATCAAAGTCAATTCGAGCGGTGATTAGTTAGACTAAGGAAACCACAGTTAGTGATCGAAGTCGCCCAATAATACGTTGGTGATGTGCTTAGGTAAAAACATGTATGAATGTAATATACCAATATATTTTGATTCCAAGTCTTTGGTAAACTCGGAAAGCATGGCGAAACGTGGTATTCGTTTCTATTAGTAAAACATTTATTTATAGATTTATATGATGTATATCCATCGCAAGTAAGAATAACAAGTAATAATAATGCAACAGAAAGTTGTATCTAGGCTACTGAAACTTTTAGACAACTTATCAGCAGGAAGTGATATCCAGACTGTTTTTTTCTGACCACTAGATCCTCCATGATAGTACGAGACCTTCTTAATATTTAATACTAAGGTACTTAATGAAAGTCAACTCACCATTATGAAATCGTCAAGTTATTCCTGTGATATTTGATGTATTCCTTTAATTTAACCCATTTCTTTAACACTACTAGCACTCGGGTGCCCGTTCGTGCCTGAAATAATGCGCGGAAGGGCATCTGAGGTCTTCCTCCACCAGTAAAGCTGGGGTCGTCATATGACCTATACTGTGTCGGTATGACGTAAAACCTAATCAAACAAATTAACACTAATAGCCCTAAGCCGTGGTTGCCTCGTTATGATCGCCTTCGGTCGTGGCGCGCTGCGTCTGTAATCTGTTGGTCCCATAAGGGAGTTTATGTGTTGAATGAAATTTCTTATCAAAATGCCTGTTAAATCCAAATCCAAATAAATTATTAATTTAATTCCTTTTATCATATATCGTTCCTTTTGTTAACTTCTGACATCATGTTATGTTGTATGAATGATAACGAGATTCCACTGCTTACTGTTCTACTATTTATTAATACGACTAGTTTAGACCAGTGCTCAAGTGAGAATGCCCAATGATCATATATACAACTTAGCATTAATGAATATCAAGTAAAAGGAAGTTATACAATGAAGTGTACGAATAAACATGTAAAGAGTTACCTGATCTTGATATCATAAGAGTATCATAAGTCGAAAAATCGATGGGTTCGAATAATCGAAATCCGAATATAGTGACAGACGACAACTAGTCAACATTGGTCATATGCCAATCATAGCAAAACTACCGTTTACAACACACTTGTTTCAATTAATCAATCGATAAAAACAAATAAACAACAAAAGATGCGTCAAAAATAAAATTGTATTGGTACAGAAGACATAAGTACTTTTATTGCCGGGTATTCGAATAAGGGTTGTCGAATAACCGGGGTCGGACTGTAGTTATAAAACACCAGTTTATATTGTCCGTTTGTTAATGTAATATAATCACAAAAAAAGTAAATAGAATTTTTAATCAACTACGTTGATACAATGAAGGAAATAAAATACTGACTAGTGTTCAGCACAAGATGTAAATTTATTCTGTGTAAGGCCTTATCATGTGATGTTAGATATTTAAATACTGAGAGGTGTGTCAACGGTCGATTGGTTAAGCTCTTTGACTTAAAACCATGCACTTGCCTTTAACCTCTGTATGTTCTAGCCGCGCTTGCGTCTGCGGATTTTTCTTGTGAGAGTAAAGCTATCCAGCTAACTTACGGAACGTACGTGATATAATGTACAGGGTGGTACCCGAGGTCTTCCTCCAACTATGGAATGCCGGTACGGACATGCCAATTTGCTTATTTGCCAATTACTGAATTGCTTATTTGCTAATTGCCGATTTGCTTATTTGCCATTGAATGATTGGCGCTTAATGACAAATTTGCTTATTTGCCAATTTTTGAATTGCTACTTTGCTTATTTGTTAACCATTGGTTTACGTATTTGCTTATTTGCAAATTGCTAATTTGCTTTTCTGCAATAGAAAAAGTTTACACTTTGCTGGAAGTATATGGCAAATCTGACTACAGACAACCGGTTGAGTCTGATCTGTTCACTTTTACCAACAGTATTCTTAGAAATTAAGTGGTTTTCTAAGAATACTGTTGGTCAATGAATTTAGTTGAAGTGATGCCTATGCAGATATATGTCTACAATTGATGGCTGTTATGTCCTTGAGAATGCCTAGTAATGTGTTTGAAGCTATAGATCTGTTTGTGCAGCTTAAGGTGATTCCGCTTTGTCAGCCATGTTTGTTTTCACCAAGTCTGTCCAAAGTGAAAGTAGGCCAAAATTCATATAACAACAAAGCTCTTATTGTAAAATGATGAACCATTTGAAAGTACACTTCCAGGTTTATATTTTAAGGACAATTATAAACAAAAATAAAAATGATAACAATAAGAATATTTACCTTGAATGTGCTACATTTCTGAAGACCAAAAACATTCTGTTGCAAAGTTTTATGCACATTTCATGAATGGCAAAATCCTTTTTAAAGTCTGTTTTAGTGCCTACAAAAGCTATTTTTTGCAGCAAATACAAAAATCTTTCAAAACTTAACTCCAAATAAATCCGTATCTCATGTTCTTCTAAGCACATGACCTCCATTATTTTTTGTAAAAAAGTAGTGCAAGAAAACAATCATCATTTATAGCCTTATAAACTTATAAACTACAATTAAAATAAAAACACAATCAAACTTTAAAATCTAACCTTTTTATGTGTAACAGTGAAGTGTGTCTGTTTGTCATGTACACAAGAAATAGGTAACTGATGTTTATTTTCATGGTACTACTTTTTTACACATGTCATGGTGGCCATGTTTTTTCAATGTCAGATAAACTACTTTCCGAAGATTTGTGTTTTTTAAAGTTTTTTGTATTTTCTGCAAAAAATAGTTTTTGTAGGCACTAAAACAGACTTTAAAAAGGATTTTGCCATTCATGAAATGTGCTATCAGTTTCTCTACTTGTAATAGAGTTGGTAATTGAACAGCATGGATCCTGGTCAGACTGCGCGGATGCGCAGGCTGGTCTGGATTCATGCTGGTCGCAAATGCACTGTGTTGGTTTTGTCGTGACGCTGTTTAAATATAAGCAGACACAACATCATTATCGGCCTACATATGCAAGTTAACAAGCGTACACTAGGATATATATAGACTTATTGCAGAATGAAAACCGCATAAGAAGATTTATTTAAACTTTGTATGATTTTAGAATATGATAACAGAAACATTCTAAGTTCAATTATATATTACTTACCTTATTTTTTGAGTAATCTACCCTTGTATTTGATTTTTGTTGTTGTTTTAGGTAAGTTCAAACCTACACATAAATTATACAAACTTTTACGTATTAAATTTGGTTTTTCCTTTTATTCTTTGTCAAAATACAAACGTTCATGGAATCCTATTAAACATTAATTTTTGTGTCCCCTTCATTCCCTTTGATGTTTTTATTTGTGTCCGCTTTATTCACGTTTTTATTTATATACGATCTAATGCAGATTTTTTGTTTTCAAGGAAATTTTAATTTTGGGAGTATGCACCTCCTTTGGGACCAAATCTTGTAAGACCAAATCTTGTAAGACCAAATCGTGTAATCACATTGTAAACAAGAGCACCGCATGCGGAGTTAACGCTCGTCGTCTGTTAAATTCAACTTATTTAAGAAAGGGCATACCTCCGAAAATAATCATTTCAGAGTTATGCCTCTTGTCCGACAAATGCACCTTGTCGTGATAAATAACTAATCTAAGTTTTATGTTGATAACTTTTAAAATATTTCAAAATCGGGCTACACTAATTATTTGCAAGACATCGTAGTGATCATTATTAGTAAACCAGCTGATGAACTAATATATGATTAACTGGCACTGACAGTTATATAACATTTTCTTAGTTACGCATTTTGCTGGTAACACAATTTGTTTTAACACTGGAAGTAGTTGGAGCAAGGCTGCATTATATATTATGTTCCCATCATTTTCAGTTTGTTTCATTCCTTACCAACTTGAACAACATGAATTAGGATCTGTGTATTGATTGTTTTAGGGTTTTATATTACATGTATAAAGATATATTTTGTGAAATGTACATGTTTACATGGGCTGGTGGCCCTGAATTCAATAAACTGTTTGTTTAAGATATATGCATAATACTGCTGACAACAATAAGGACTCTAGTTAGAATTCCAAGATGTACAATTGGCATGACTACACAGGTACCGTTAGTCTGTAGTACTGTGCGTTTAGGATAATTATTTAGTGACACGGTGGTCAAGTCCACTTAAAACGGTGTCAAAACAGTTATCATATTGTGTTTTATCTTAAGTCAAACAGGCTTAAATATCGACAAATTTACCAAGTGTCGGCCTAAAAGCAGTAGGTAAAGTTGTCTGGTAAATTTTTTAGTTAGGACATATCAATGCTCAGCCGGGTTCGGTCCCCAAAAATTCTGTATAATTATCAATCGAGTAAAGAATATCGTTTTTTTTCTTGTAAAGATTACAAGTGCTGTGTTATTTTCTATTAACTTTTCATTTCACTTTTGTTTTTAAATGTTGCTATATTAAGCGAGTTGGTGCAACCTGATACGGAATGTATACATGTACATAAATTGTTTCAACTATAGTTAAGTTGGCACGAAAAACTTGTGCACTGCAAAAGTACTATGACTACTATATATTACACACTACACAGGATAAAAATCATTATTTCCGGTATATCTAAATTATTCGATATTATAACAAAACCGCCTTCATTTTCCAATTCATTTGCATCTAATGTAAAATTTTTAAAAAAAAATAGGGAAAGAATAAAGGTTAGAAAACTTGTGAGGCTCGAACTCATAACAAAATTTATTTTCTATGGCATCACTTTGACTTAACCAGCTTTGCCATCGAGTCTTTTCAAATTCTATTTCTTATCTTGAATAATATTCACTTATAAAATATCCTGTTTCACCTATTCAGACAAAGGTTGTAAACTTTTTTGTGTACACAAAACAATGCAACGTCACTCTCACATTTTCATAGCGGCACAGTAAATACTTTTAGAGGTCAAAGTGCGAACAAGGAAAAATCAACACATTTTAAGTGTTTGAAAAGATTTATTTATAAGATGATCTTTTTAACCTCATAGTTATATATTTGCAAAAGTAATTATTTGCAAAATATTTAACATTTGTTAAAGTTAAAAAACGTAAAAAAAACATACTTGCGTACATAATGCACAGTATATAGTACATTAAATGTCAGGCAAAGACATATACAATATACTATTGTTGTTTATGGATACATCTCAAGAGATAACCATATCACAATAGCTGAAAATTCATCATAACAAAAAAGTTTTCTAAAACTATCCTATTTTGCATATTATAAAACATCAAAGGAGTTAAATGTTAATACATAAATGTGAAACACAGTCAGAAATTATTACATCTTTGACAGAATTTTAAACATATATACACATGATTATTTATAAAGCCACTGAATACATAAATTCTTACCCTGGCTGCCACTACAGTCAGGATTATGTTGCTCAAAGGGTATTTTTAAGCTGAAAAGGGGTTTGCTGTCTGTCAAATTCTTACTTTAAATAATTTACAGAGCCAGATATTCACATATGTCGTAGCAGCCAGTGTTTGATTCTTTGTCTTACATATTGGACCAGAAGAACGATGTAATTAAGATACAAAACAAGAGGGCCATGATGGCCCTGAGGTCGCTCACCTGTATATAGGCCCTCGGAGCTAGGCCAGTTTGAACCCCAGGGCTTTTATTTGAACAGACTTGAAAGACACCCATTAGAAGATGTTTCATTATGTTAAGTTTTTACTATACACATATAATGAAAAACAATGACCTCCACCCACCCCACCCCTGGCAGGGCTAATTTTAACCCAAGGGCTTTTGTTTGAACAAACTTGTTAGACACCTATAAGAAGATATTTCATGCTTAACATCTAAGCTCTAGCTCATTGGGTTTTTTAAAAGAAGATTTTTTAAGTTTTTACTATACACATATAGTGAAAAACAATGCCACACCTGGGGCAGGGCCAGTTTTGACCCCAGGGCTTTTTTTTAACAAACTTTGTAGACACTTAGTAGAAGATGTTTCATGCTTAATATCTAAACTCTACCTATTTGGGTTTTTCAAAGAAGATTTTTTTAAGTTTTTGCTATACACATATAAGTAAAATCAATGACCCCCGGGGCGGGGCCAATTTTGACCCCAGTGCTTTTATTTTAGCAAACTTGGTAGACACTCATGAGAAGACGTTTCATGCTACATATCTTAGCTCTAGCTCTTTGGGTTCTTTAAAAGAATATTTTTAAGTTTTTACTATATGTATATAGGAAAATCAATGACCCCCTGGGGCGGGGCCAATTTTGACCCCAGGGCTTTTATTTGAACAAACTTGGTAGACACTCACTAGAAGATGTTATATCCCAAATATCTAATCTCTAGCTCTTTGGGGTATTTTTTAAAGAAGATATTTAAAGTTTTTTCTTTCGGTTGCCATGGCAACCAGAGTTCTGCATGGAATTAAATTCTTTGAACAATTTTCAAAGGTGACCACCAAAGTAACATTCCTGTGAAGTTTGGATGAAATTGGCTTAGTGGTTTATGAGGAGATGTCATTTAAAGTAAAAATTTATGGACGCCAGACGAAAAGCAATCACAAAAGCTCACCCTGTCACTTTGTGACAGGTGAGCTAAAAAGTAAAACAAACATTTTTAGACATGTATGTTCAACTTCTTGAAAATGATGTTACCTTAAGCATCAACATGTTTACAAATTAGTAAGAATGAGGTCATCACGTGCTAGAAAGTCTTGTCAGATATGCAATATTGTAACTATAAAACAAACTTGTCTGAACAAGTACAATCAATACAGTAATAATAGAAAACATGTCTGAGCATGTACAATCAGTACAGCAAGCATAGAAAACATGTCTAAACATGAACAATCAATACAATAACCATAGAATACATGTCTAAACAAGAACAATCAATACAATAACCATAGAAAATGTGTCTGAACATGAACAATCAATACAGTAATCATAGAAAATCTGTCTAAACATGTACAATCAATACAATAATCATAGAAAATATGTCTAAACATGTACAATCAATACAATAACCATAGAATACATGTCTAAACATGAACAATCAATACAATAACCATAGAAAATGTGTCTGAACATGAACAATCAATACAGTAATCATAGAAAATCTGTCTAAACATGTACACTCAATACAGTAATCATAGAAAACATGTCTAAACATGTACGATCAATACAATAACCATAGAAAATGTGTCTGAACATGAACAATCAATACAGTAATCATAGAAAATCTGTCTAAACATGAACAATCAATACAGTAATCATAGAAAATGTGTCTGAACATGTACAATCAATACAATAACCATTGAAAATGTGTCTCAACATGAACAATCAATACAGTGATCATTGAAAATAGGTCGTCTGAAATTAATACAGTAACCATGGAAAACATGTCTGAACATGTACAATCAATACAGTAACCAAAGAAAATATGTCTGAACATGAACAATAAATAGAGTAATCAAAGAAAATATGTCTGAACATAAACATTCAAGTCAATAACCATAGAAAATGTGTCTCAACATAAACAATCAATACAATAATCCTGAAAAATATGTCTGAAATCAATACAGTACTCATGGAAAATATGTCTGAACATGTACAATCAATACAATAACCATAGAAAATCTGTCTGAACATATACAATTAATACAGTAATCATGGAAATTTGTCTGAACATGTACACTCAATACAGTAGCCATAGAAAATATGTCTGAACATGTACAATCAATACAGTAACTGTAGAAAACATGTCTGAACATGTATAACCAATAAAGTAGCTATAGAAAATATGTCTGAACATGTGCAATCAATACAGTAACCATAGAAAATATGGCTGAATATGTACAACAATACAGTAACCAAAGAAAATATGTCTGAACATGTACAATCAATACAATAACCATAGAAAATCTGTCTGAACATATACAATTAATACAATAATCCTGAAAAATATGTCTGAAATCAATACAGTAATCATGGAAATTTGTCTGAACATGTACACTCAATACATGCAGTTATTAAAGAAAATCTGTCTGAACATGTAAAATCAATACAGTAACCATAAAAAGTATGTCTGTATATGTACAATCATTATAATAACCATAAAAAATTTGTCTGACAATAGTATTGCTCTATGTTCAATCAATACAGTAACCATAGAAAATATGTCTGAATATGTACAACCAATAAAGTAACTGTAGAAAACATGTCTGAACATGTTCAATCAATAAAGTAACTGTAGATGAAAATATGTCTGAACATGTTCAATCAATACAGTAACCATAGAAAAAATGTCTGAACATGTACAACCAATAAAGTAACCGTAGAAAACATGTCTGAACATGTACAATCAATAAAGTAACTGTAGATGAAAATATGTCTGAACATGTTCAATCAATACAGTAACCATAGAAAATATGCCTGAACATGTACAACCAATAAAGTAACCGTAGAAAACATGTCTGAACATGTACAATCAATAAAGTAACTGTAGATGAAAATAAGTCTGAACATTTTCAATCAATACAGTAACCATAGAAAATATGCCTGAACACGTACAACCAATAAAGTAACCGTAGAAAACATGTCTGAACATGTACAATCAATAAAGTCACTGTAGATGAAAATATGTCTGAATATGTACAATCAATACAGTAACTGTAGATGAAAATATGTCTGAATATGTACAATCAATAAAGTAACCGTAGAAAATATGTCTGAACATGTTCAATCAATAAAGTCACTGTAGATGAAAATATGTCTGAAAATGTACAATCAACAAGCATTTGATAGTATTGCGGGCAATACAGTAGTCCCCTACCGGTCCCTCAAAAAGTTCTTTAATTGTCATTCACTCCTGTGTATTGCCATTTATAATGAATTTGAGGATGAAGTCTGTATTTGAAAATATCGACCACAAAACATAATAAAACAAGTTTCATAAAAATATTTCCAGTACTTTTTTAGTTATCACTGGATTCCGTTTATGTGTAAAATTTGCCATATTTTCAGTCTATGTGTTGCCATAGCAACCAGAATTTTCAACATAGGAAGAAAAGAAAAAAACGTGCATAATTTCAAGACTGCCATCTACCCATATGTCAAGTTTCATAAAAATATTTCCAGTACTTTTTGCGTTATCACTGGATCCAGTTTATGTGTAAAATTTGCCATATTTTCACCCTTTTTGTTGCCATAGCAACCAGAATTTTCAACATAGGAAGAAAAGAAAAAGACGTGCATAATCTCAAGACTGCCATCTACCCATATGTAAAGTTTCATAAAAATATTTCCAGTACTTTTTGCGTTATCACTGGATCCAGTTTATGTGTAAAATTTGCCATATTTTCAGCCTATTTGTTGCCATAGCAACCAGAATTTTCAACATAGGAAGAAAAGAAAAAGACGTGCATAATCTCCATACTGCCATCTATTGATATACCAAGTTTCATAAAAATATTTTCAGTACTTTTCAAGTTATCGCGGGATCCAGTTTTGCGGACGGACGGACTGACAGACAGACGGACGGACAGACGGACGGAGGGTAAACCTAAAGTCCCCTCCGGTAAACCGGTAGGGGACTAATAAAGTAACTGTAGATGAAAATATGTCTGAATATGTACAATCAATAAAGTAACCGTAGAAAATATGTCTGAACATGTTCAATCAATAAAGTCACTGTAGATGAAAATATGTCTGAAAATGTACAATCAATAAAGTAACCGTAGAAAATATGTCTGAACATGTTCAATCAATAAAGTAACTGTAGATGAAAATATGTCTGAAAATGTACAATCAATACAATAACCGTTAAAAACCTGTCTGAGCATGTACAACAATATAGTAATCATAGAAAACATGTCTGAACATTTACAGTATAGCCTTTACAGAGCAGCCCTGTGTGATGCAATTACCTCTCTACAACAACATTATTATCATACAATTTTGACAATGAATATGAAATAGCGTATGCATATTTAGATAAGAGTGTCTTTTAACCCAATATTTTTCAAAGTTGACTGACTGATTTATTGTTTCAAATGTAACAACAGTGCATCCACTTCTTGCAAGATATTACCGGCAATTCGGACAGCATCTTCGGCGTTTTTTCGGCTGTAAAGTTCTGAGGGAATTTTACTGCTAGGTTTTGGGTATCGCATGCGTGTGTGCCAGCCCGTTATATCTGTCAGTTCATCTGTATGTTTAGCAAGCTCTGTTGACAAACCTAGAAAAAAGGCAACTGAAATGTTTTAAAGTGGAGAGAAATACGAATGTTAGGATTAACTATTTTATCTGGCTAAAATATAAAAAAACGGTCCCCATTCTTTTTACAACTGAATGCTACCGATGCATTCTAAAATACATTTTAAAAGAAACTTGTAATGGTCACGTATGCACCTTATTATTCTTGCAATTTAAAAACGACCATTGTTAGATGTAAAGTTATTTTGACTTTTAGCTGCATTAACCATCCATTTATATTTGGAAGTACATAATGTTTCAAATGATATGAGCCGCGTCACGACAAAACCAACATATGGGGTTTGCGACCAGCATGGATCCAGACCAGCCTGCGCATCCGCGCAGTCTGATCAGGATCCATGCTGTTCGCTATCAGTTTCTCTACTTGTTATAGGGTTTGTAAACGAACAGCATGGATCCTGATCAGACTGCGCGGAGGCGCAGGCTGGTCTGGATCCATGCTGGTCGCAAACGCACTATGTTGGTTTTGTCGTGACGTGGCTCATATATACTAGCTAGTCCTCTGTATGATAATTTACAGAACCTCAACACTAAAGTCATTAGTAAGCATAGTTAACTTTGAAATCTAAGACAATAATATCATTTATTTCACACCTTAAAAAATATAAGAAATGAACCTTCATCTTTTAAACCACGTGGTGTTCCAAAAAAAAATCATAATTTGATCTAATTTTATCAACAATCTATAGCCTCGACTTTGTTCCAGAGTAGTCTTTAGTATCTCTATATAGGTGCATATATTTACTCCATAAAGCATTGTTTTGCAACAGTTCATGAATACAAACCTTATTGTACTTGGACATACCAGATATATTTATGAGCCGTGTCATGACAAAACCAACATAATGGGTTTGCACCCAGCATGGATCCAGACCAGCCTGCGCATCCGCGCAGTCTGAATAGGATCCATGCTGTTCGCTATCAGTTTCTCTACTTGTTATAGGGTTTGTAAGCGAAAAGCATGGATCCTGAGCAGACTGCGCGGATGCGCAGGCTGGTCTGGATGGTTTTGTCGTGACACGGCTCATATATCTCAGAAATGCTGGTGTGAAATAGAATTGTTATTATACATTCTTGAGAACAATACTGATTCTAATGGTCTCGTACCACAGGTGTAAAACGCTATGACAGATAAAACCTGCCATGTGGTGTAAGAAGTTATGCTCTCTCATTACTTGTCTCTTTGATACTACTTTGATAGACTGCTTTGACATGTTAACATATGCTTTTATAGTAGATATAATAAAACTGTGTATTCAGTGTTGTTCTGGTTATAACTGACCACCGGGTATTCAGACGATGGTACGTACACGTTTAGTACAAAATAAGTTGAGAGTTGTGTATATGTCCAATAGAATTCAGTATTGCACTCAATTATGTATATTCAGACTTGTTTCAGTTTTTTAGCTGTACCATTTCATTCATGAAATATAAAAAATAGCGATTACGAGCAAAACAATGTGTAACTATAGAAATTTTACCTCTAGAAATAGTAACTAAGCAATGGCTTTCGCCGAATTCCTCAAGTTTGTTAGCATCTGTAGCATACCACGCCGCTTTAAGAGATTTTTCTGAAGCCTAATGAAACAAGAGGGCCATGATGGCCCTGGATCGCTCACCTGACACAACCGCATCCAAGCAATGTCTTAAACAAGCATCATGACCAAGTTTGATGCGACTGAGTCAAACATGTGACCTCTTGTGTGTTATAAAGATTTTTCCATATTTGGGCAATGTGACCTAATTTTTGACTGGACACGACCCATATTCAAACTTGACCTAGAAATCATCAAAACAACCTTCCTGACCAATTTCCAGGAAATTTGGATCAAAACTGCAGCCACTAGAGTGTTAAAAAGATTTTTCTATTTTTTGCTCCTGTGACCTAGTTTTTGACCAGACATGACCAATCTTAGCACTTGACCCAGAAAACATCAAAACAACATTCTTGACAAATTTCCTGAATATTTGAATAAAAACTGCAGCCACTAGAGTGTAAACAAGCTTTTTCTATTTTTAACTCCTGTGACCTAGTTTTTGACCTGAGATAGCCCATCTTCGAACTTGACCTAGAAATCATCAAAACAACATTCCTGACAAATTTCCAGAATATTTGAATCAATACTGCAGCCACTAGAGTGTTAACAAGCTTTTTCTATGTTTAGCTCCTGTGACCTAGTTTTTGACCGGAGATAACCCATCTTCGAACTTGACCTAGACATCATCAAAACAACCTTCCTGACAAATTTCAAGAATATTTGGATGAAAACTGCAGCCCCTAATGTGTTAACAAGCTTTTCTATTTTTAGCTCCTGTGACCTAGTTTTTGACCGGAGATGACCCATCTTCGAACTTGACTTAGATATCATCAAAACAACCTTTTGACAAATTTTCCAGAACATTTAGATGAAAACTGCAGCCATTAGAGTGTTAACATGCTTTTTCTATTTTTAGCTCCTGTGACCTAGTTTTTGACCTGAGATGACCCATCTTCGAACTTGACCTAGAAATCATCTAAACAACCTTTCTGACAAATTTCCAGAATGTTTGGATGAAAACTGCAACCATTAGAGTGTTAACAAGCTTTTTCTATTTTAAGCTCCTGTGACCTAGTTTTTGACCAGACATGACCCATCTTCGAAATTGACCTAGAAATCATTAAAACAACCTTCCTGACAAATTTCCAGAATATTTTAATCAAAACTGCAGCCACTAGAGTGTTAACAAGCTTTTTCTATTTTTAGCTCCTGTGACCTAGTTTTTGACCGGTGATAACCCATCTTCGAACTTGACCTGAAAATCATCAAAACAACCTTCCTGACAAATTTCCAAAATATTTGGATGAAAACTGCAGCCACTAGAGTGTTAACAAGCTTTTTCTATTTTTAGCACCTGTGACCTAGTTTTTGACCGGACATGACCCATCTTCCAACTTGACCTAGATATCATCAAAACAACCTTCCTGACAAATTTCCAGAATATTTGGATGAGAACTGCAGCCACTAGAGTGTTAACAAGCTTTTTCTATTTTTAGCTCCTGTGACCTAGTTTTTTGACCGGACATTACCCATCTTCCAACTTGACCTAGATATCATCAAAACAACCTTCCTGACAAATTTCCAGAATATTTGGATGAAAACTGCGGCCACTAGAGTGTTAACAAGCTTTTTCTATTTTTAGTTCCTGTGACCTAGTTTTTGACCGGAGATGACCCATCTTCGAACTTGACCTAGATATCATCAAAACAACCTTCCTGACAAATTTCCAAAATATTTGGATGAAAACTGCAGCCAATAGAGTGTTAACAAGCTTTTTCTATTTTTAGCTCCTGTGACCTAGTTTTTGACCAGACATGATCCATCTTTAAACTTGACCTAGATATCATCTAAACAACCTTCCTGACAAATTTCCAGAATATTTGGATGAAAACTGCAGCCTATAGAGTGTTAACAAGCTTTTTCTATTTTTAGCTCCTGTGACCTAGTTTTTGACCCGAGATAACCCATCTTCGAACTCGATCTGTATTTCATTGAGACAAACATTCTGACAAAGTTTGATGATGATCCAATCAAAACTGTGACTGCTAGACTGTTAACAACCCAATTATTAGAGTGTTAACAAGCTTTTTCTTTTTTTAGCTCGTGACCTAGTTTTTGACCAGAGATGACCCATCTTCGAACTTGACCTAGATATCATCAAAACAACCTTCCTGACAAATTTCCAGAATATTTGGATGAAAACTGCAGCCTCTAGAGTGTTAACAAGCTTTTTCTATTTTTAGCTCCTGTGACCTAGTTTTTGACCCGAGATAACCCATCTTCGAACTCGATCTGTATTTCATTGAGACAAACATTCTGACAAAGTTTGATGATGATCCAATCAAAACTGTGACTGCTAGACTGTTAACAACCCAATTATTAGAGTGTTAACAAGCTTTTTCTATTTTTAGCTCGTGACCTAGTTTTTGACCAGAGATGACCCATCTTCGAACTTGACCTAGATATCATCAAAACAACCTTCCTGACAAATTTCCAGAATATTTGGATGAAAACTGCAGCCTCTAGAGTGTTAACAAGCTTTTTCTATTTTTAGCTCCTGTGACCTAGTTTTTGACCCGAGATAACCCATCTTCGAACTCGATCTGTATTTCATTGAGACAAACATTCTGACAAAGTTTGATGATGATCCAATCAAAACTGTGACTGCTAGACTGTTAACAACCCAATTGTTAGAGTGTTAGCCAATAGAGTGTTAACAAGCTTTTTCTATTTTTAGCTCCTGTGACCTAGTTTTTGATCGGAAATGACCCATCTTCGAACTTGACCTAGATATCATTAAAACAACCTTCCTGACAAATTTCCAGAATATTTGTATGAAAACTGCAGCCTCTAGAGTGTTAACAAGCTTTTTCTATTTTTAGCTCCTGTGACCTAGTTTTTGACCCGAGATAACCCATCTTCGAACTCGATCTGTATTTCATTGAGACAAACATTCTGACAAAGTTTGATGATGATCCAATCAAAACTGTGACTGCTAGACTGTTAACAACCCAATTATTAGAGTGTTAACAAGCTTTTTCTATTTTTAGCTCGTGACCTAGTTTTTGACCAGAGATGACCCATCTTCAAACTTGACCTAGATATCATCAAAACAACCTTCCTGACAAATTTCCAGAATATTTGGATGAAAACTGCAGCCTCTAGAGTGTTAACAAGCTTTTTCTATTTTTAGCTCCTGTGACCTAGTTTTTGACCCGAGATAACCCATCTTCGAACTCGATCTGTATTTCATTGAGACAAACATTCTGACAAAGTTTGATGATGATCCAATCAAAACTGTGACTGCTAGACTGTTAACAACCCAATTATTAGAGTGTTAACAAGCTTTTTCTATTTTTAGCTCGTGACCTAGTTTTTGACCAGAGATGACCCATCTTCGAACTTGACCTAGATATCATCAAAACAACCTTCCTGACAAATTTCCAGAATATTTGGATGAAAACTGCAGCCTCTAGAGTGTTAACAAGCTTTTTCTATTTTTAGCTCCTGTGACCTAGTTTTTGACCCGAGATAACCCATCTTCGAACTCGATCTGTATTTCATTGAGACAAACATTCTGACAAAGTTTGATGATGATCCAATCAAAACTGTGACTGCTAGACTGTTAACAACCCAATTGTTGACGACGAACGACGCACAACGCACGACGCACAACGCACGACGCACAACGCACGACGACGGACGCCGGACATAGCCCCATCACTATACCTCACCATGACCACTTCGTGGTCAGGTGAGCTAAAAAACAACAACATTTTATATTCAAATACAGACACAGTCAGTTCGTCAAATCTTATAACTACTAGTAATGCATTTGTTTGGTTTCATAGATTAAATTAATACCATTGCTTTAATTAATAACAATCGTGTCAGCCCACGATTGCTTTTGTTTCCATTTCAAAATAGAATGATTATGGTAACAATTCAGTATCATCTATATATAACGAGTAAACTTTTCTTGAGTAAATATTTGATTTGCTTACATGTTTGTAAGGTCCAAGGTAAGGTGTATTTTCGTTTACAGTAATAATGTGTAAAGTATTGATAAACCAGTCAGTCAACATACTAAATAAAATTTAAATGTATTGAAAATCAATTAAAGATAAAGATCAAATAATAACTATCATTGTCAGCAAAAACCCGGGTATACTCTTCAGATAATTACGCTGTGTGGAAACCAACTGTATCATCTAGCGGATATTGTGACGTGATTTAGTTTACTCACAGGAGGTGATTGAAAGAAAAAGGTCAATTTCTTTTTAATATTGTACACGAGTTATCAGCGTTTAGGAATTAACTATTATGTGAAAAGTTTACTTGTCATGAACAACGCAGTTAATATATTACATACCAGAAAGGTGATCTACTTACATGAAATCAAAAGGCATTGTGAGGTAGGATTATGAATATTTTACGAATGTCCGTATTTTATAACATGAAATGGTATTGTGTGTTGCAGAGTTTCATGTTTGTGATGGCAGCCATAAAAAAAGTTGCCAGAAATACTTCAGTGTTATTATATATTTTCTGGTCCTAACCCTTCAGGATCATTGATTCTAGCACATTTAAGTGTTGAAAATTGAGTACCGTTCAAGCTTGATAAACCTAGGACCGATAAATCATACATTATTACATTATTCATACAGCGTAGTTTTTTTTTTGTTTTTTTTTTTTTTTTTCAAATCTTGACCTTTTATATCAGAAGGAGTATTGCCACTTTTGCAAGCATTTTCATAGAGACCCATAACTGCAACAGTAGTCTCTCAGTCCGAATGGAAACTACACAGGGTTCTTTCATTCTCATTTTGACAGGAAAGTAACATGACACACACGTGCTTTGAATCATGTGTTACCAGTAGATCTCACATTTTCATTTTTTTTGAACTCGCATGGAAACTCGTTTTAAGATAGACAAAATCCTAATTCCTGTTCAGGATTTAGGACTTCCTATGACACATTATGACTTTATAAACGTATTCTTTAAAGGCTAACATGGATATTGATACAGATTATGGAACATGAAACCAAAGTTATTGCAGAAGTGCATAAAGAATGCATATGCGTTCTACTTGAAAATGACCTTAATATATCTATTGCTTTATATTTCATGCTGTTTATTACTCTTCAAAATCTTATATTTTGACACCACAATGGAGCCCGATTTCAATACCACCGTGTGATTGTTCACTGAATTAAATTTAAATACACAAATAATTGCATTTAAAAAGAAACAATTAGATGCCATTATATATAACTATTTAAACAACAACGTATAAAATTCAATAAAGTACTGTAAAACATCAATTATTGGTGGCACTTTAATTTTTGCTGCATGAAAACAACGAAATCACATCACCATATCCGAAAGATGATAAGTTGGATGTCATACAATCAAATGACATGTACTAACCTGATGAGTTTTGTAACATATCCAGTTATACGCATCACTTTGAAGAACAGATAAGCATTCCCTTGCATTATCGAGGTCACAGTGTGCCTGTCTTTGCCATTTTTTTGCCTCTGGATACAATTGGTATGGTTTCTTTTCGATTTCTGCCTTGGCATTTTTGCATTCTGTAGTTGGACCATTTAAGCCGTTATAGGCTTCTATTCCTTCCTTGTCCAGTATTTCCTCACATAAATCAGGATCATTGCACATAAATATCTTTTGAGCAGTGAACAAAAGTTTGTCTTCCAAACACGCATGGCATCCTTTCAAACGTAAAATAATTTCATTTGAAACATCAGAAGACCATTTGGTATTGCCTGTGTCAAAATAAACAATAGTTCTCTTTCCCATCACATGTGTATAGACGGATTTTGTTTCGCTTGTTTTCTCAATCATTTGTCCATTTAAGAAAAGATGCGTACATATATTTTCAACGTGTTTAAGTTCTATGTTCAAAACCAATTCTGTTATATCTTTTTCGATATCGACATTCCATTCCCCAGACAATTTATTTCGTATTCCATGTCTAGCAAGTCTGCACACACTTGTAACAAACAACTGGTTATGAATGAAATTTTCAAACTTGTTTGCAATATCACTATTTAGATATGTAACACTTCCAATATCAACTTCTTCTTTTACAGTATCTGTAAGTAATAGCGGTCGACAGTAATCAGGTAGCATTTGCAAGCTATCTACTATTGAATCAATACCTGGCTGTTCTATGTTAGCCATATAGGTCATGTTCATCCCTTTCTGTAATCGTTTTTGCAAGTACCTATTATTACAAATCACCAATTTTTTGGCTTCTGTCAACATATACGTATCACTTAGCATATAAAGCGAGTGAATTTCAAGTATCGGTGATGTTAGCTTCTTTAAAAATATAAAGATGTTTGACATTGCTTTTAATATTGCATCTTTCTGTTCCGGTGTAACATTCATACTGGACTCACGTCTGATAGTTTCTATGACATCAATATACTGAAGAACACTTGGCTCTTTTGAGGCTCCCAACTTCAAAAATAATGATTCGAACTTGCCATATTCCTTAGGCATTTTTTGTAAGTAAGGCTCTATTTCTTCGTCCGTTGAACATTCAGTGATGACTGATACTGCAAGTTTTGTGATCTTTCGTTTTGGAAAATATATCATCGGTATAGTCTTTAGGTCGTTGAAATTCCGTATGTGAGCGGATGATTCACTCAAGGCTTCGTATACACATTCCATAACTTCAGTTATTTCATCTCTATCATCTTTAAAACACGGCAAACCATCTTTTAGTGCATTTCCTATGTGTTTGCAATGTGCAAATAATTGGTCCTCGCTTGGTTTCATACGAATACAGAGTTTTCTTAACAACTCGTGTGCATTATAGCTTCTTGGATCGGCCCACATTGGTAATATATTTGCCGAAGTCCAACATGTATTCTGTTTCTCAAAAAGGACTGAATTGGCAAAACAAAAAGCTCTTTGACTATTAAATTGCTTATATATTGTAGAGAGATCATCCAAACGGGTTGGAAAAATGAATGGAATTGTTGACAGTCTTGTAAAATCGTTTATATGTCGAAACTTTTCACCTTTTCTGAACAATATTTTAACAAGTAACGCGGCCTTTTCTTTTGCACTTGTTCCGTAATGACAATGAGTATTAGCTATGTCACTGGCAAATCTTTCAAACAATTCAATAGTCATGTCACATTGCAGGCCAAGTTTGTTTTTAAATACTTCAATAATATGCGGTGTTTGATAAACCTCGGGTAAAATTTCATGTTTTTTACAAAACAATTTGAAAACCTTTGGCCATTTTGGGTCATCATAGAATGTATCTATCACTCGTACAAAGCCAGGTAATCCTACTTCTATAAACGAAAGATCAAACAAACATTTAAGAATCCTGTTGTTCTCTACTTTGTCATTTGGACCAATTACATGCTTACAAAGATAATCTATGTGTTCAAAAAATTGATCCCGGCTCAAACAACTTTGATGAGGGAATATTATTTCAAGATAAATTCTCTCAGTAGATAAGTAGGAGATATCAAGTAACCTGAACAAATCGGAAACTATCAAATCTCGCAGCAAAATGACATTTGATGTCTTTGAAATTATATCAAGTCCTGACACTGGAATTTCGTCAGGTTTCACAACTACTTTGTAACATGTATCTATTGATGTTAATTTATTTGACGGTGTTTCAAACACCGGTATACCCTTTAATTTCGATATATCTTTATCTTGCAAATTTTTCACGCGATCGGAGAAGTACATTAAAAGAATTGCGGCTTGATCTGCATCTACTTTAGCCCAATCGATGTTAGACAAATTGTTAACAAGACAGTGAATAATTTTTCCAGGGTCATCAAAATTTGGAACTTGTTTGCAAAGCAGCATATACATCTTGCTGAGGTACTTGCATTTATCTCTGGAATGATTTGCAACTGAGTGTAAACTTTTACTTTTATTTCCTTTGCAATCAATTTCAAAAAAGTTCTTGTCTAACTCCCTTATACTGAACATTTGCAAGGTTCCATGAAGTTTTGCCACTCCTTGGAAACTATCCAAATCAATCAAGGTATTACTTTCTGCAACTGTAACGAGATCACGTTGCCTTGAAACTGGATCAATGACTGGCAGCAATCGTAGATGCATTATCTCTTCTAAGTTTTCTTTCACAGTTTCAAGTTGCTCGTCATGCAATTGGTCTATGAAAAGAAGCCAAAATTGTTGGACCATTTCAAAAGGTGGAATATGATCATGCCCTGTATTACTAATTTGCTCATGATTCCATAATAATCCATCAGTTGCTGCAAATGTAGCAAAGTCCTTTATTTCAAAATGAAGAAGATTTCCGTTTGAGATATCCGCAAAACCCTTTAATTTTTCATTTTCAATATAAGATATTGGCTGTAAATCATCGTAGAGAATTTTGTGTGTAAATTGATGAAGTCGTTCTGGAAAAAAATCTATAAATTCTGTTACAAACAATTTATTCGATTCGCTTAACTTCCTTAATATCCCATCTTGTGTAAGAAAAATGGGCATCGATGTTGACATTGCAAAAAAGTGACTTTTTTCTTGTAGACAATAGGAAAAAACTTTTTTCAAATCATTGCAACTTTCAAAACATGTTTCCTTAACTGGTTGGCCAGACAACACATGCTCTTCTTCATCACAGGAACAAATGTAGTCAACAACACATTCCGGCGATACACTTTTAAATATAATCCCAGATTTTTTAAACGAATCTTTGATGTTCATCGGGATGTCAGCAATCTTCATTCCTGTTCGTCTTAAAATGGTTACCAATTGTTGCTCACAGTATTTTGTGGATGTTTTATCCGCACATAAATCATATACATCAGTTTTGTTGGAATCATTCAGAGAGATAGGAATCCAAGAAAGTTTTGACGATGATTTGTCACAGTCCTGTTCCAAAACTGGCAAGAATGGCAAACGGCGAGCACATATACTAGAATAAATTTTCTGTGTTAGTAGTTTCCAGTAACTGTCGTTCGCATCGGCATAACTTGGAAAATGAGAGTAAAAAAAGTCAAGAGAATGTTTGATGTTGTTGTCAGGCAAAGACACCTCTGAGAAATTATTTTCACTAATTGAAGAATGAAGGTTCTGCAGGTATGTTACATATGACTTTGCAACAATATGCTCTAATATAGCTATGTTCCATTGGGTTTTATAGCATTTGTCTTTATCTAAAGATTCAAACAAAGATCTTCTAGTTCCATAGTCCAGTACAAAATTCCCGTTTACATGAGCGGGTAAACCAGTCGTTACCGGTAATGGGAGCAAACAAGATAACTTTCCCTGGCAATTTTTAATGTTGCTGTTTCTGTTAAATGCGATACCTCCTTCTGGCAGCAGAGTTATATTTCCTTTCTTGTATTCCTCTTGAAGAAGTTTAGGAATTCCTAAAACCGGATCAAATCCTACAGATTGGATAACTCCGTATGAAGATTTTATACATTTATCCTGCATAGTTTCCCTAAAAGATATGTTGTATTCAACTGTCTCCTGTGCGACATCCAAAATATCGCTACGATGATTATCAAAAGCAATATGTAATGAGTTCAGTACCGATACCCAATGGTTTCTTTTATTCAAATCATCAGGAGACAATACTGCTTCAATAATATAATCTTCTTTGTATTCATCATTTTCATAGGACCATACTCTGACTGTTTTGACATGTCTTAGGAATATTAAAAACTGCGATAAGTCATTGCAAAATTCGTCAAGAGTTTTTGACAAGCTAGACAAATCAACGACATCACTTTTAATATCTGATGGTTGCGTTCTTAAAGGAAATCTAAACATTGTGCCTCCTTCTTTTCGAGATTTAACGAGATCCTCGTGATAACCTTTTAAAACATCAGGGTGTTTTTCTCTTAACCAACTCAAATCCTTAAATCGTTTTCCTGGTTTATCTTTGGATACATTAGGAATAAATGATGCCAGCGGATCGAAAATGCACATCGTCTCACCTCTCTCAATTTTTGTCCCTACTGTGTAAAACGATGGGGCATCTGTCAAGTTATAAACAGAATTGAATCCGATTCCAAATTGGCCGATTTTAGAAGGATCATTACTTTTGCTTCCTAAACCAAGTTGTTTTATTCCGTGTAAGTCTTCACTAGTAAAAGGCCTGTCATTGAAAACACATAAAGATGGCCCTTGCAGTTCATTGAAATTTTTGTCAAATACATTTTCTATTGGATATTTAGTAAAATCTTTGATGAAGATAACTTCGCTTGCTGTTGCATCATCAGCATTTTGTAACAATTCCTTGAAAATTCCAGCGTCAGTTGAGAAGCCATAAAGAAGTTGTCGAAGTCGTATATACAATGGCTCTTCTTGATAGAAATTTTCAATATCTTCACATGATTCTTCTAGCCTCTGAACCCCTTTCCCTTTAACTTCAAACGATTTTGCTAAAGCTATAGGTATGTGCTCATGAATATAAATCATATTGGAGGTCTTTTCAATATCTTCCGCATCGTTTAAACACAGAGCTGTATATTTTCTGAGCACACCATATTCATCAGGGATATATATGCTACCAGCATTACCTTCTTGACCGAGAAAGGTTTCAATACTTTCTATTTTTTCTTTATGAAAACAATTCTTTAGGAGAAACAATAAATTGACACAAATCTTTACTTGAATCTCATTACAAGGAACGTTTCCATTACCATTTGCAATGCCTTCAAGAACTTTTGCAACATCATTTGCATAAAAGTGTTCAACGACATCTAAAGAGGTATAAAGATTTGGACATCTCGAAATTGCAGAATCTTGCACGTTATAGAGATATGGCTGACATCCTTCAAGTGTGTTATCACGTGACACCTTTTTAGGAATAACAAAAGTATCTTTGACCCAAATAACTGGCCTGTCCTTCAGGCATTCTAAATCAGCTGCATTGCTAAAATCTTCTAAAAAATTATACACGTTTCTCAGAACATTCTCTATCATATCACTCTTGTCTTTGGGTTTACATTCCTTTTGATAAAAATCTGTCATATCTTGAAGCTGTCTTACAACCTCTTTTACCTCCTGGCGTTTGTTTTCAGTTGTTCCATGCATTCCAAGTGTATAAAAGCAATTGTCACATTCCATTGAAGAAAGTCTTTCTTGCTTTTTCAATCTGTCACAAAAATGCTTGTCAACTATTAAATGGTGAATAGAAACTAGATCACAGAATTCACTGGTATACAGCATACTTGGTGACCCTAGGAGTAGACATGGTTTTGTTTCATTATGAATTTTACAGGCTGTTCCTTCAAAATATCTACACTTTGTTTTTGTCATGTCCGCATTGCTAGATTGCCAGGAAAATGGCCATTCTTCTGGCTTCGACATAAGTGGTAAGAAGTGCATTTCTTTTAGGTTAAGTGAAATTGCACTACATGTGTTAATGTTTTCACATAGGTATGCCATAAGATATAAAGCCCTATCAATAATACATTCACTACAGTCTGTTTGGTCATTAATTATTGAATGAGCCCTATTCAAAATGGTTTCCTCTGACAACTCATTAGTTTGCATCCCCAGTTTAATTAATAATTCAAATATATTTTCTTTGTCTGCAAAACTGGGTTCTGGAAAGAACCCTTCACCCTGCGGAAAGAGCCTTGCGTGCTTAGATTTCGGATAGACTATTTGATGTGGTTTTTTAAGACGTCCATTATCAGCCGGAATGCAGTCGTTTTTACTAAGCCACATTTTCACAGATTCAAGGTCTTGATAAATAGCAAATGTAAGTACAAAATTTCTTTCAGAAAGTGTCATTTCCAAAACGTCTAGGTATGGCAGAAAAAAGTCAAGAAGAAAATCTTCTGTATATACGGTTATTTGTTTCACCAAATTTGTGTTGAATTTATTCAATAAAGAATAAATATCACCTGGTATATCAATAACACATTTGTCTGAATTCTGGAGCAAATATTTAAAAGCAATATTTCCTACTTCTTCTTTTGCTCGTAAATCAGGGTCTAAAAACAAGCATTGCGACAAACAAACTTTTTCGCCATTATGTTCAAATACTGATCTTTCTGTTTCTTTGCTTATATTGGTGTAAAAGGTCTCGACTAAACATTTGCTTAAAACATCCATCTCATCGTGTTTTTTCGGCCAAATTTTAAACGCGTCATGCTGATTTGTTTTAGTGTTCTCTAAGAAATGTAGAAGGGCAGACGCAATCGGATAGGAAATAAGTAATTCATTCCATTGTGCATCTTTGCTCTCTTCAATTTCATCAGTCTTCATTTTAACATTTTTCCGATCAAGGGTCAGCTGAAATTTGCCATTGATGTGAAACATAAAGGTGTGAATCTGTTGTGTTGGAAGACTACAAAAATAATGCCCAACTTTATAAAAGCAAAAGGGTAAGTTTTCTAGAGGACAAAGTGTAATTGTCATTCCATGATACCCAAACATTCTATGCTCATCAATTTCTACAGGTATAGCGATCGAACCCAGGGGAAGTACTGATGGGTTTTCTTCAATCATCTGTTCTAGAACTTCATTAGTTTCTGATGTCCAAGAAATTATCCATTTCGTTGTATTATCCTCCCATTTATGTTCGTCCGACTTTTTGGTAGTAATACAAACCTCTTGTAATAGATTGAAAGACTCACCCTGTAGCACTTGAGAAGTCCTACGTCTGCATTTATCCTTGGCTATTGATAACCTCTGTTCAATGTCAGCCATATCAGGAATATCTTGCTTTTTGGCATTTGCTTCAAAGACTAAGTTTGCATTTGAAGGGTTGCTTTCATTTTCTGTTAAATGAAATAGTCTGATTTCATGTATACTGTCATTAAAAAGTAACAAGCTATCCGAAAGCTCCATAATCGAGCACATCAGCCTCGTTGCAGCACTTTTTGTATATATATTATCACTAATCTGACTGATTTTTGTTCGTAAAGGTAACCGAATTAAAGTCCCATGGAATGTTCGATTTTCATCTGATAGCAAATTGCATCCAAAAACATTTTCGTATGGTTTAAATTGATCAGAAAATGCATGTATAACATCCATTTTATCTTGTCTTCTTAAGTCAATACGAACACCAGGGACTCCTTGTGGCAGTGCTTTATCTAAATATGTGGTTTGAGGGTCAAACAAAATAAGGTTAGAACCCGACAAGATACTTGGCACATCAGTTAAATTATAGACGGCACAAAAACCATGTCCATATTTCCCTATTTTTCCTGGTTGGTCTTGTTTTGTCCCTATTCCTAATTTTCTTATGTTTTCAAAATCCTGTTCTGAGAATTCGGCATCATTGAATACCCAAAATGCTGGTCCCTGACATTCTGACATAGCTTCACTAATCAAACTTTCATGTGCATCCCTGTTTCCGCGCTCGTCATACATTATGTAAAAACAACTTGCTCCAGCGTCTTCTGCGTTCTGAAATAATTCTTTAATCACCGTAAAACCATCCTCATACCCATGTTTGATAATATTTCGTATCCGTATGGCGAGAGCTTCTTCCTGACCCCAACTTTCAAAGAATTCTGACTCTGACAACATCTTCCGCCTAACATTCGGAACTCCTAGTGCTTTCGCTGTTGCAATAGGAACATCTGAATGAATAAGCACGGCATCATCACTCATAGAGAATTGTTTATGTTCGTAATTTTCACAATAAACACATTCATTCACAGGTTTCATCAAGGAATCACATGAAGCTTGTTCATGTACTGGGAAATATATGTCTGTTTCTTTCACGTTTGTCACGTTGTAATCTTTCAGCTTGTTTAATATGGTAATTGCCATCTTTCGCAATGACGATTTGCTTTCAGTTTCATCTTTATCTTCAGATCTGTCCTTGATTATCTTTAGGGCTTTAAGAAACATATCTAAATTCGGACTTTGCCTACAACCCAATGCAAGAAAGAAATTCCCGAAGTGCTGTAATTCTGCCGGAAGCTTTGACATTACTGAATTCAAGTCTTCCAAGTTCTCTTCCGATGAGTCTAAATACAGGTCATCTGGGGAGACAAAGCCAGTTCCATTCCATATAAATTTATTATATGGTTTTTTGAAGCTATCGAGCAACGGACTAAATTTCATTTCCCGTAGTTTTGTATGACCTGCGAACCATTCATATATTTTGGAAATCATCTGAACATAATCAGTTTTACATTGTATCCTGTAATCTGTCAAAACATTTTTAAGGTGCAAAATTACGTCTCTCACCTCAGGAGGCTTACTCAGTCCATGATCATCTGCAAATTTACGTAGTTTTGAGCAGTCAATCACAAACAGAACTGAGCCTATTAAGTTGATATATTCCAAAGACTTTACTTCAGACGGCATACAGAGTATGTTAAGACAACCCCGACTTTTCATTTTCATGGATGAGGGGTAGTTGTCTGGGTTAACGTTATGTACAGGAACAAATTTCTTATTACAAAACAGTGTTTTGTCCACAACCGTTGACGGAAGATTTAGAAATTCTAAAAGGGCTTCAGCTTTTTCAAAATCATCTCTTTCATTTTTACTTGCATTTGCATCTATAATCCCACAAGTTCTAACAATATCACTTTGTGAAATATCGATCCTTGACTTCATTCCTAAATGCTTAAGACTCTGCAAAATAAATTTATCATTAATTCCGGACATTTCTGGTAAAACGCCTTCATTTTTGAACAGTTTTGATATGAGCTGGTCATATGGATCGAAGAAATGCGAAGGCTCTCTCCACTGACCGTCTGTTGACTGGATGAACTTGGTTTCTTTTAAAAGCCTGGTTACATTATCATTGTTCATCAACTTTGAATCTTTGAATATCCATTCTACTAGACATTGCACTTCATACGGTGTATAATTGCTGATATTTGATAAAGTTTGCAAGGCAAGTGCTTCCTTATCTAATACCGTACCTCCAAGTTGTTTTGCTAGTAAAATCTCTGAATCCATGGAGATAAATACCATTGGCTTGTGCAACTTAACAGGAAATTCTTCTACTCCAATAATATTTTTATTTTCATCCATTGACACACAGCAATATTCATTTTCAAACAGATATCTTGATTGCCTAAATAGACGCATACCCTTCAAAACATTTATGCAAAGTGGGCTTATTTCAGTGTGGATTGTTTGTGAAACATATCTTAAAAGTGCAAATTGTTTTTCACAGTTGACATTTGCATTAAAGTGCAATATTTCTTTTGATGTAATACGCTCAAATAGATTGACCATTTTCCCACTTTGGTCATTCGTTATATATGTATCTGTAAGAGCTGTACTGATAAAGCCGGGCAAATTTCTAACAATATTCACTGACAAAAGCTCAAAAGCCTGACTTACTGTTTCTGCAACTCTCCCGTCATCACAATTTGGGAAGTACATAACAAGTGATGATAAGCAACAAACTTGAATTTTTTCAGGGTTCTGCCAGTCTGGTTCACACTCAAATGGATATATCGGAAGTGACGCAAATTTGTCCAGTGACTCCTTATATCTATCTTGTATCAATTCCCATACATTTAGGATCCATTGCTTCCAAAATGGCACCTCCGAGGCATATAAAGTAAACAACTTACCAGGTCCAAAGTTTTCTTCTAAGACATCCTTTATCATGGAAGCACTTCGTTCTGCATTGAGAGTCTTAAGTCGTGATGAACCTAAAAGTTAAGCAAGATTAACTTTAGATGTATTTGAAATTTCGATATTCATGATACTTACAAGCGGTTCTGAAGGCAACTTCTTTGAAAAATTGTGACTTATTCAAAAATAAAGACGAAAAAACAAAATAACCTTTCCAGGATTAATAAGTTGAAACTTTTTGTAAAAGATTGTGCTTAAATTCATTTTAAACTTAACGCATATGATGTATTCGTAGTCATTGCCTGGTGAATGATATAATGAAGTTAAGGGACAACCTAAGCAAGAGCATTGCATGCGGTCTAAACGCTCGTCTGTGAGGGCAACACCTATCAATTACTAATATATAAAGCTTCAAAAACAAGAAGGGACATAGTTTCTAAAAAAAATGCTTTCAAGATAACGGTCTGATAACCTTGAGTCCCTTGTCGTGCAATTGTGCGCTGTCGTGATATTCAAGAATACAATGAAGCATGTTAATACATCTCATAGTTTTGAAATTATTTTAATAAATTTGAAATCTTTCTTTTTCGCAACTTAATCTGAAACCACTTGAAATCCATACAAACTTAAATAAGATGTTTATGTTTACCACCTATTTTGAGCTTATCTTAAATTCGTGTTTTCACGCCCGATCGCAAAATTGTTTGAGAAATCGAAAAAACGACGGTGCAACTTATCTGAAACATGTTTTATATTAATTATTCCTATGATACTGACATTCAAGAATGGGCAAATAAATCCTTAGAACGTTTTTCACATAAGTATTATAAAAGTCTACTTGACAATGCTACATGACAAAATATCTAAGCTTTGGTCATAATAATTTTCCACAAGAAATTTTAAATTTGTTTTCAATAATACTATATGCTTACTCTGTTAATGTGCCCCCTCCATGGAGCAGTTCGAATTTTGATATCAGGGTCATTATTTAAAATATAGAATATCTCAAGGTACTGCGTTAGCGAATTGTTTATGATTTGGGCATTGTAGCTAAGGAAAATGATTGGTAACACATATAAAAAATAAAAGGTGATACAACATGTCAAACAGCAATGTTCTGTTCGGAAGAAAGGGTTTCAAAGACATGCTTTCTATGTAGGTCTATGTTAACTAAGTGAATCAATTTTTGACCCCAAGGGCACGATTAGTATCACTTTTGTAAAGATTTACAAGGCTACATGCAACATACATAAGCCGTATGTATTGTATGCGTTTAAAGGTCTATGCAACGTTAGTGACGCCCGTGGCGGGTCAATTTTGATCTGATCAAGTTTGATCATATTGTTACAATATGTGCCAAGTAGTTCCAATTATTTTCCATCGGTCGAAAACAAACTTCTTCAGTATGACTGTCCTCGGTAACCCAGACTATTTACCCTATACACTTAATGTAGTATATACGGCATATGTACTGAGCTTTTGACGATGATCTTTACAATATTTTCCTAGCTTTTTACTTATCATGACAAAGGAATATTGTTGTCGTATTTTATCAATCCGCAGCTATTTGTAATTCTCTAAGGTTGAATTGAATCTATATTCAGATTCTTGACATTTACAGTTTAAACTTAATTATTCATTGATATCTGAATCAAATACTAGACTTAAGGTCAACAAGAAAGTATCTATACATTAAGAAATAAATAACGCTTTCACAAATTGGTTTTATGTAGCGTCAAAATATATAAAATCACAGTACATCTAACTATCGTAGCTAATTTAATGTTCCAGAGATGACGTGAATTTGATAATAAATCTATCAGGTATCCAAAAATTGACAACATAGGTACACTGACATGTAGAATTTCAAAACGTATCAATTTGTTTTTTTATAGGGAAGAGCATTTTCGATTTTGTTGTGATTTTTGTGAATGCGGGTTACTTTGCATTTTTGACTAAAACTCAACAATAGAGGCAGTGACAGTAACAATCTTTTTACTGAGAATTACAAACACATGTGTCCTTCAGTATGAAAAGATTTTTAAAAATCGAATATGCTCTTCCCTATTACAAAGCAAAAACCCAACTGATGCGTTTTCAAATTCCGTCCGTGTACATATTTTCACTTGAACTGTAAGCACTTAAATTCATGTACATAAATGCATTGACTAAAGATATCATTTCAAGAAAACAAAATCCATAACTTTTTTATTATACGAACCTCCATCTGCAATAGTTTGTATAATAGCCAATGTCTCTGACAGTAGGTTTGTAGAGACAAACTTTGATAACCTTCCAGGAAAAACTTTTACGACTTCTTCGGATGGTTCAAAGAAGATTTCATCGGTCCCTTTTAAGCAGGTAAAGAAACTATCCGCTAATGGTATTAATTCAAGTTCCTCTATATCTGTGTCTTCAGTTTCATTGGATTTCAGATACTGAAGCAGATGTTCCTTTTGCAGTGAGGACATGTTTTTGTAGGTGGTATTCTTTGCCATGTGTTGACTCAGAAATTCTGGTGACATTTTCTTAATCTTTGAAGTTGAAAGAGACAATGCATCATTCACATTCTTCGGAATTATTGCAAAAGGTATCTCCTCATTTGTTAAAAGTTCAGCAATTGTTTCAGAAAACATTTCGCAGTCTGACAACAAAATAACTTCCATCCTGTCAATCCACTGGCCACCATGGTATCCTGCATAGTAAATATTTTCGTTCTCGGCCAAATATAAAAACTTTTCCCCTAATTTTTTCCACCTTTCATCAGTTTTTTGAAAATCAGGAATAAGCTTGTAAGCCGATTCAACAAGCTGTGTCGGATTAGCATGTGCCTTGCTTAAATTGATCATTTCCTGTAGGAGTGCAAGATATGCGTATGGGAGTATTTCTGAGACCAATGCATGATTCCACTCTATCTCCTTATCTGTATTGATACCCAAACATTCTTTATCTTCCCACTTAATCTGTCGTCTGTTATTCCCGAGAGCAAACTGGGCGTTTATAAACACAGGTAGACCTGTTTGATTTTCTTGTGGAAGTGGCTGGTTACAAAATACGCATCCGGAATCAGAATGAATCACGTGTACGTCAGTTTCCTTGATCTGACCAGCAACACCAACAAGATGATGGTACCCTAAATGTTTATCTTTTAATAGCTGTTGTGTGTGTTTTGAAAGCTCTCCTCCCTTAAGATAATTCACGATCAGCCATCTAGATCTTGATTCCTTGATTTCTTCTTTAGTGAATCTTTTCGCACATTTGACATAAACATCAAATGCCCACTTTTCTGAAATTTCAGGAACTTCCTTCAGCAGTGATATCAATGTTTTCCTAAGTTCTCGTCTTTCTTGAATAAGGGTTTCAGAAGCGTTTTCTATTTGTACTGAGTAAACAGCGACATCTTTTCCAAAGTTTGCTTTCTGTAGATGTAGCCTTGAATCAGTATCATATGCAATGTTATTACTATCGATTGTGTCTTCTTCTTTAGATCTTTCTATGAAAACTTCTATTTTGCTTACTGTGTTAGCAAACAAAATGTTCCTGTCAGATTCCTCAATGAACGTGTCTAACAAGTTAATCACCTTAGCATCAGTGTAGATTGTGTCAGACAAATCTGATGACTCTTGTCTCAGTGGAAACCAAAAAAGTGTACCAGGAAAATAACCGTCATCTAAGAAGGCTTCATTAAATCCAAATAAGTCGTCGAAGCCTAGTAATAAGTCAGACAGTCGAAGATTTTTTGAGCGTTTAATCCTGTCCAAACGTATCGATGTGCAAATTTTATCCGGATCTTGTTCGCCTGGGTCTATGAACATAATCTTTTTACCGCTCAATATAGTCGGAAAGTCTGAAAAATTAATGTTATCTAGTTATTTATATGACTATATCCAACTTTACTGGTAGAGGAAGACCTCATGTGACTTTACTTTATTTCATTAACGGTTCCTGAGTAGAACCATCGACGAAGTCTGAAAAAATAATGTTATCTGGTTATATGACTTTATCCAACTTTACTGGTAGAGGAAGACCTCGGATGACTTTACTTTATTTCATTAACGGGTCCTGAGTAGAACCACTTACGAATTTTTTCTTGACATATGCTATGAACTTCATAGCATGAAAAATTTCCCAATTAAATCATGATAGTGTACTGCATTCATTTGAAGTGTAGAAAATTTAGAGATCTCGAGTAGGAAATAAAATAATCATGATAGCCGTTGGTTGCTCACCTGAGATATATTGCTCGAAAGGCTCTCAATTTTTCAATGCAGAATGAAGGAAATAGAACACATTAGCTCATCATTTATCTCTGAAACTGCATATCTTTTTAAATTTTTGCTAGAAAATATAATACATGCCAAATACCAAAGCTCTAGGCATTGTTTAATATAAGAAAATTTAAATGTTTTCCTATATAAAACTAAATAAACAAAGTGACCCCGAGGATGTTGCCAATTATGTCTCCACAGGATTGGTTTATATAACTTGAAGTTTAGGACCACAAAGAAGAACTGCATGTTTGATACATGTTTTGTACATTGAGATTTAGACATGTTTACTATATAAGTCTATATAATTAATGTGACCCGAGGGCGGGACATGTTTGAACCCAGGGACGTGATGAAAATAACTTATTTAGAAGTAAACTAAACAATGCTATATGCTAACTTTATTAGCTCTGTACTTGAAGATTTCCAATATTAACAAGCAATTATCAAAGTATTGCAAGCAATGCCAACGTCCCTTAACGTTAAGACCTCCACAGGAAGTATGCCAGCGACATTTTAAAGGGCCATGACCTTTCAGTTATGCCTTTGTGGGTGATATAAATAATGTATAAATTGTAGTCGAGGTCAGTTTTTTATTTTTCAAATAGTAAATTTTGTCAAGATATTTAATTTGTTCACATATGAATCATATCCATCAATAACAGCTTGACAACTTAAACTAAATTAATAATTTGACCCCGACAGCCAATGTCATTCAAAAGTCACGATTATATTTGAATAATTCAACATGTCTTGTTTGTTCCATGTGTTGTTTTGTCCAAGTATAATTCTGTAAAGTTAAATATAAAGTTAAGATAATTAAAGCAAATATCAATAATTTGACATTGACCGTTAAGGTCAATTAAAGGTCAAGAACACCTTAGACTTTGTCATTTGTGTTCTCATGTAAAAGTATATGTCAAAACTGTAAATAATTATGACAATCTTAGCAAAATTCAATAATAAGACCTTCAAGGTCCAGTCATTTATAAGTGAAGGTCATAATTAATTTATGAAGGTCTTGCCTAAAGGTTTGACGTTTCAAAGTATGAATATATTTCATTTATAAATAACAGTAATAGCCAATTATAGCATACGAATCGAGCAAAATTTAAAAAAAATACCATGAATATCAAGGTAATTTATGAGTCAAGGTCAAGTTTAGTCTTACCCTCTTGAAGGTCTTGACAAAAGGTATTTTTTGTGTCCAAGTTTGAAGAAAATCCACAAAGAAATGAAAAAAGACTAATGTTTATGGATGGCAACATGGGAGCACATGGGTGCTATATGACTGTAACAATAGGTGAATTTTTTTTCTCGGAAAAGGTCTAAACTAAAACAAGGCAGTCTGACGGACAGCTAATTCCCAATCCGCAGCAGACATGAATGTATACTTCTTGACCTTTAACAGACCATGAACTGATGTTGTGCCATGTATAGTATAAGCATATAGTCTCATGATAGTAATTTTTGTGCCAAGTTATTTAAAATCTTTCATAAAGTCAAAAAGTTATGGAGAAAATTTTACCTTGACCTTGTGGGTAGTAACCTGGATGTTTGGTTTTGCACATCATGTCATAATGGTGATCTTTTCTGCCAAGTTATTTAAAAAAAAATTCCAGCGGTTTAAAAAGGTTATGGAGCTGACACAAAATTGGACTTTTTTTTGGGAAACAATTCAGTTATTGCACTCAGCACATCGTCTCATAATGGTGATCACTTGTGCCAAGCTATTTAAATATTTTTGAAGCGGTTTAAAAGTTATAAAGCGGACACTTTGTATGTACTTTTAAATGCTTGACCTTTAAGTGTGACCTTGACCTTGGGGGTAGCAACCCAATTATTGCGCTCTGCACAACGTCTCATAATGGTGATCGCTTGTGTAAATTTATTTCTAAAACTTTTCATCTGTTTAAAACATTTGGAGCGGACACGAGCCGTAGACTTTTAATACTTGACAATTAAGTGTAACCTTGACCTTGGGGTAGTAACCCAAGTATTTATTGAGCTCTGCATATCTTCTCGAAATGGTGAGCACTTGTGCCAAGTTATTTCAAAAATTTTTTAGCGGTTTAAAAAAAATGTACACTTTTAAACACTTGACCTTTAAGTGTGACCTTGACCTTGGGGATACCCCCCCCCCCCACAATTATTGCGCTCTGTACATTGTCTCATAATGGTGATCACTTGTGCCAAGCTATTTAAAACAAATCAGTGGTTTAAAACCTTTGGAGCGGACATGAAAGTGTTACGGACGGACAGACGGACGGACGAACAGACAGGGGGAGGCTATTTCTATCATCCCCTTCCCGCTATACAGAAGGGGATAAATAATTAAGTACATAATCTCCCTTCTGCCATCTATCCTTACTTAAAATTCATAAAAATATATTCATTACTTTTTGAGTTTTCAGAATAAATTGCAATTCATGTCATACTTTAAGTCAGTTTTTGTCATAGCAACCAGATTTATTAACATAGAAAGAAAAAAAATGACGTGCATAATTTCCATACTGCCATCTATCTACATTTCAAGTTTCATATTTTCAGTAATTTTTTTTAGTTATCACGGGTTTCACTTTTTTCCGGCTGACTGACGGCCTCACAGACAGACAAACTGACGGGCGACTGGCAAACTTAAGTCACCTCCGGTTAAACCAGTAAAGAAA